GCGTCTGCGCGCGCGACGACGATGAGCGACGAGCGACGAGCGACGAGCGACAACAACGACGACGACGACGACGACGACGACGACGACGACGACGACGACGACGACGACGACGACGACGACGACTGCGGACCAGACTCCTATGCGGATTCCTATGCGGACACCTACGCGGATCACGATTCGCACGGCGGCAGCGCCCGAATCGCACCGGGGGGGGGACGTTACGTCATAGGGGGGGGGACGGGGGGCAGGGGGCCATGACGCCCGTCATGCCCCAAGCAATAAAGAAACGGGCTCCTCAAGAGATGCCACCACTTTCGGGGTCAAATGTTCCGAGCCCGACCACCCGGGCTGGGCGAGGCGTCCTCCGTCCCGGCAGCAGCTCGTCCTGAGGCCGCCCCTGCTCGCACGCCGCGCCCCTCGTGCGCGCGGGCGCGCGAGGGCGAGCCCGCCGCTGCCTGCTTCGCCAGCGGGAGGTCTTGGAATACTTGGAGCCTGCTGGCGGGCCGAAGCGGGTCCCGAGGGAGGCGGGTGCTGGAGGAGGAGGAGGAGGAGGAGGAGGAGGAGGAGGAGGAGGAGGAGGAGGCCTTCTCACCTCGAGGCCAGCTCTCCCTGTCGCGAAGCGCTGCTCGTCGGTGCAGGGGCCCCCCGGGAGGGCCCCGGAAGCCCGACGACGGCGACACACCTCAGGACCCGTGTTTCCCTCGGGATCCGCTTCGACCATTGGCGTTAGGTCGGGCATGTCCTCCTTCAGAGAGGTTTGGACGAAACATGAAACATAGACATAAAGCATACTCCAAAATGGTGAAAGGATACCCGGCAAATCGACCCCAGAGTATTTGTTTGCCTATGTTTGCTTATTCCTCCTGCAGAGGGACATGCCCGACTTCACATTGGCGAGTCTGAGAGCAGCCGCCGTCAATGGAAGAAGAACACGCGGCATAAACATCAACTGTTGGCGCTCCGCGCGGGCTTCTCGGATCCGCGCTGGACCTCCCCTCCCTGGCGCGCGAAGCGCGCCAGGGGCGGCGCCGGAGGCGCCGCCGGGCGGGCCCGGGCGCCGATCCAAGAACTCCGCGCGGAACGCCAACAATTTATGTTTACGCCGGTCTTTCTTTTTGGACGCCCGAAATGGGTACGGAAAGAATGGGTACAATGCCCAACAACAAATGTTGTCCCAAACCAACAGCGGCCGCTGTTGGGCAGGCGGCCTTCTGTCTCGAGTGGGCACAGGCCGCGGCGGCGCGGACAGCGAGCCCTGTTCAGAATGAACAGGAACTGCTGTTGGGCATTGTACCCATTATGTCTGGGAGGGCGAAAACCCACCCCCACCCTCAGTCCCGACCCCCTGTCCCCGAACCCGCGATTCCAGGGGCCGGGACTGGGGGCGGGGGTGGGCTGTCGGGGCCCAGGAGTGGAGGAAACCCACCCCCACCCCCAGCCCCGACCCCTGGAACCGCCGGCTCGGGGATGGGCGTCGGGACTGGGGGTGGGACTGGGGGTGTTTTGTTTTTGTTTGCAATCCTTCGTTTTTTTGCAATCATTTTTTTTGTTGCAATCCTTTTTTTTGCAATCCTTTTTTTTGCAATCCTTTTTTTGCAATCCTTTTTTGCAATCCTTCGTTTTCGCCTTCTGAATTTGGGCACCCATTTCGGGCGTCCAAATGATTCTCCTTCGAGTCCGGGGAGCAGCCCGCCCGGCAGGCGGGGCCCGCGCGCCGGCTGCTCCGAGGAGGGGGCCCGCGCGCCGGCCGCCGGCGGCCCTGCGGCTCGCGCCGCGCTCGCTCCGCGCCCCCAGGCGCGGGCAGGCAGCTCAGCGCGCTGGGTCCTGGAGGAGCGCGCGCCGCGTTCGCGCGCGTGCTCCGTCCCTGCTGCTAGATAATATATATATATAGAGAGAGAGAGAGAGAGAGAGAGAAAGGAAAGAAAGAGAGAGAGAGAGAGAAGTGCGGTGGTGAGGATGACGGAGATCGATGGGGGAGGGTCGAGGGGGGGCGGCATCGAGGGGGAGGGGGATCGAGGAGGGGCATCGATCGAGGAGGGGGAGCGAGGAGGACGGGGGATCGTGGAGGACGGGGGATCGAGGGGGGGGTCGAGGAGGAAGGGGGTCGAGGAGGAGGGGCATCGAGGAGGAGGGGGGGCCTCGTCGTGATACGCCTCGCCTCGCCTCGTCCTTACATGCAACGCGCTCTTCGCTCTCTCTCTCTCTCTCTCTTCGGCGATGGAGCTGGTGCACTTCGGCGTCGTGGCCCGCGTGCTGCACGCGCTGCCCTGCCTCGTGTGCTCGTTTGCGGTGCATGCCAGAAAGCAGTGGCAAGAGCGCGCCCAGGGACAGCACGCCGGGGCCTCCCCCTGCTTACCCCGAGGCGCTTCGCCCGCTGTTAAGGTTTCTTGGAACTCTGAGCGCCCAGTGGAGGATCGCTGAGCCGAGGGCAATGGCAACCCTCGTGTGAGTGTTCTCTTCTATACTGTGGGCGGTCGAGGGGTGTCCAAGAGGGGGGGGTGCAAATCAAGGCCGGCGACATGTGCGCGGCCCAGGGGTGGGGGGGCAGGAACGTCATGAAATAAGAAGAGGCGCCATGAGATCTGGCCCCCGCCATGGTATGCCCCCCCCCCCAGTCATCACCCCCTCTTGGCCGCCCCCGACCATATCTAGGCTAAGAAATATCGCGTTCGGTCTCTGCGCGATCTTGAGTGCTCGCGGCGACGTGGCCCTGCAGGACACGAAACCGCCCAAGCCAGCTCCAACACCCCCCCAATAGAAAGGGAACTCTCCGTCGTCTACAGGGACCGTCCTGGGACTCTCTCGGGAGCCTCTGAGGCTGTCTTGGAGGCCTTGGTGCCGCCCCAGGAGGTCCGAGCAGTGTCTGGAATCAGTAGGGATTTCAGTGATTTGAGCCACCTCGCCTTTTTGGTCTTGAGAGCTCCAGAGACGGCCCACGAGGTCCATAATGCCTCTGAGGCGCTCAAGAGGGCCAAAGAGGCCCCAAGAGGCCCCCGATAACACCCACTTGCGTTTCGAGCCCTTCACGAAAGATGGTCGCCTCGTGGTCCCAAAGAGGCGCCCAAGAGGCCTCCAGGAGGCTTCGAAAAGGACTCCAAGAGACCCCAAGATGCAATCTGCCTCTGAGACGCCTCTGGTCCTTGATCCAGGCACGGTGCCAGGATGGGTCGAAGGTCGCTCGTTACTAGAACGATAATCTTGCGCGCGTACGGCGACGGGAGATTGGAAGAGGAACGTTAGGTAAACGAGTTCAAGAAGCATCTGGCTAATCACACGCAAAATAAGCCAAGGGGCCGCGGGGGGGAGGGGGGGGAAGCCAACCTCGCGAGCCAATGTTGGGTGACCCGCGTGGGCCCGCACCGTTAGTAGAGGCCTTCGAGATAGGGTCCGAGCAGACAGGGTCCGAGGATCGCGCCGATTCGCTGATGCATCACTGATCCATCGACGATGCATCGATGATGCATCGGCGATGTCGGCGATGTGTCAGCGACGTCTGCGTGGAGAGGGAGGAGAAGAGGAGCAGCAGCAGGAGGAGCAGGAGGATGAGGAGGACGAGGAAGGCGGAGGAGGAGGAGGAGGAGGAGGAGGAGGAGGAGGAAGGCAGAGGAGAAGGAGGAGGAGGAGGAAGAGGAGGAGATGGAGGAGGAGGAGGAGGAGGAGGAGGAGGATCGAGGAAGAGAGGCCATCCGGGCGAAAGGTCCATCCGACGCAGTCTCGCAGTACGGCTCCCCTTCCGGCTCTGCCTCCCTCGCTTCTCCTTCCCGCTCTCCCTTACCTCCTTCCTCGTCATCCCCCCCCCCCGTCTCCCCTCCCTCCTCTCCCGCTTCTGCCGCTGCTGCTCCTCATCCTCCTCCACCCCTCCTCGTCGTCTACCCGCTGCTGCTGCTGCTGCTCCTCCTCCTCCTCCTCCTCCTCCTCGTCCTCCTCCTCCTCCTCCACTCTCCTCCTCACCTCTTTCGCCTTCATCACCACCACCTCTCATTCCTATGTGTCCTCATCCTCACTGCTCCTCCTCGTCGTCCGGCTTCTCCTCCTCCTGCTCCACAACAACACTTCCTCTCCGCCTGCTCTCATGCTGGGGCACGCTCCCTCCCGGTATGGAACACACATTCTTCTGCTGCTCCTCCTCCTCCTCCTCCTCCTCCTCCTCCTCCTCCTCCTCCTCCTCCCAGGTGGGGCTCAGGCCTGGGATATGAGCAAGGCCTCAACCACCATCTCCCTCCTGCTCCCCTCCCTCCGTCCTCCTCGCTCATCGTCCCTCCGTCACCTCCCTTCCCTTCCATCTGGCATCCTCTGTCCACTGTTCCCCTCTGCTCCTCTCCCTTCGTCGCCCCCCCTAGCCCTCAGGCCCCTCCTGCTCCACCTCCCGCTCCTCTCGCTTCTGTTGCCGCTGCTCAATCTACCCATCACCCTCATCCGCCTCCTCGTGGTCGTCGTCGTTACCGTCGTGTCCTCCTCCTCTCAGGTGTTCGTGCATGCATGCGCACGGCGAGCGGGCGGGGGGGATGGGGACGAGGAGGAGGAAGAGGAGGAGGAGGAGGAGGAGGAGGAGGAGGAGGAGGAGGAGGAGGAGGAGGGGGATGGGGGGGGGAAGGGGAGGAGGAGGAGGAGGAGGAGGAGAGGAGGAGGAGGAGGAGGAGGAGGAGGGAGGAGGAGGAGGAGGAGGAGAGGAGGGGGAGGGGAGGGGGAGGAGGGAGGAGGAGGAGGAGGAGGAGGAGGAGGAGGAGGAGGAGGCGACGTGGGGTGAAGATGCATGCAACTTTCGCGCAACGATTGGGCCCGCGGTGGCATTTTGGGGGCCGTGCAGGGCCCCACTTCCTGCAGTCCTCGATCCTCCCACGCCTGTTTCCCCCCTGGTGCCGTCCGCCCGATCCTCCCCCTCCTCCTCCTCCTCCTCCTCCTCCTCCTCCTCCTCCTCCTCCTCCTCCCAGCTGTCTCCTCCGTGGGCAACCTCAGCTCCAGGGCGAGTCGCCACGTCTCGTAGCAGAGGCGGTGCAGGGTCAGCGCGTCGCGGTTCCACTCGCTCCTCTGGGGAGGCCGAGGGACGGGGGGAGGGAGGAGGGGCCGATGGGGGGGGGAAGGGGGGGGACACGGGGGAAGGGAGGAGAGGGACGAGGGAAGAGTGGCTATGAGCGCTCGCGGCACACCGAGCATCCTGCTCCTCGCACGCATCCCTTCCTGCTGCGCCGATTTCGTCCTCCGTCCGCCGACGGGCGTCATGGCAGATCTGGAGCCCCCAGGCTGACCCCATCGCGCTATGCGCAAGAAGGCAAGTGAGCTGGAGGAAGAGGTGGCGGATGAGCAGGAGGATGAGCAGGATGATGATGATGCTGATGCTGATGCTGATGCTGATGATGATGATGATGGTGATGATGATGATGATGATGATGATGATGATGAGGATGATGATGATGATGAGGAGGAGGATGATGCTGAGGAGGAGGAGGAGGAGGAGGAGGAGGAGGAGGAGGAAGGAGGAGGAGGAGGAGGAGGAGGAGGAGCCGCAACAGCAGGAGCAGGGGCAGGAGAAGCGGGAGGAGCTGGAGGATCAGGGGAAGGCGGGGGAGTGGAAAAGGGGGGCGACGACGACGAGGAAGAACTCCCTTCTAGAAATCAGGCCCGCAATGGGGCGAGAGCGCCATTCTGAACGAAGGGAGCAAAGCTCCGAGTCTGAAATGAGGCCATAGCTGCAGCGGGACCACCGTTTTGAAACGTCGAGCAAGATCGGATGGGAAACAACGCATGAGAAAGAACGACCGTTGAACTCCAATGTGTAAAATATATGCGAACAGGGCAGAATGCCTTCCGGACGTATCCGGGGGAAAGAGGAGGGTGGTATTCATATTGCATATTGAGTGACTGTGCCTGTGGGGCGGCGGTGCTTTCATCAGGCTAGGGGGTTGCAGGGCTCTCCGGCGGGAAGGGGAAACCAGGCCGCCTGATCCCGCGAGGGCGCGACCATCTTCGCGCCCTCTCGTCGACTCCCTGGAGAAAGAACACCTCTCCTGGCCGGGACCACCAAGCCGAGAGCCGAGAGCGCGCCTGTCTTCGGGCCCCGCCCCAGCTCACGTCCTTCCTCGATGGCGACTCTCCGCGCTCCCGCGTGCACGAGTGACCGCGTTCAAACGCAGGCCAACGAACGCTGACCGCGTACGTCTAGGAGGAGGAGGAGGAGGAGGAGGAGGAGGCGGAGGCGGCGGAGGAGGAGGAGGGAGGAGGAGGAGGAGGAGGAGGAGGAGGAGGAGGAGGAGGAGGAGGAGGAGGAGGAGGAGGAGGAAGGGGGGGGGGGGCTGGGAGGGAGCCCCTGAGCTTCGGAGTTCTCGGGTCCCTCGTCCCAAGGGGGGAGGGGCAACGACACGGGGGACTGGCTCTATGTCGGGCGTGTCCCCCTACAGGGGGATTTCCGACGAAGAATAAAAAAAAATTCACCAAAAATGCTCCAAAAGGTAAAACAAATACTGAAAAATAGTCCCCAGACTATGTTTGGACTATTTTTGGACAATGTGTGTAGTATTTTTTTTTCGTCGACAATCCCCCTGTAGGGGCGTTTTTTGCGCCCTTGACTACAAGGGGATTTTCGACGAAACATAAAGATACCCGAAAAAGAATCAAACAATTTCCCAAAATCAGTCTGGGGACTATTTTTTGAATAGGTTTTGACCTTTTGGTGGTATGTTTGGGGGTATGTTTTATTTGTCGTCGAAAATCCCCCTGTAGGGGGACAGGCCCGACTTAATCCTATCCGCGATCAGCCTAGAGGCCTCCCAGCTGGGGTCCGAGCAGATGGGGTCGGAGGATCGCGCCGACGTCGGCGACGGATCGGCGACGTCGACGTGAAGCAAATCGGCCCCCACGCCGAGCCGCATCACCGATGCATCGGCGATGTGGCGCGTCCTCCGACCCCCTCTGATCCGACTCCGTCTAGGATGCTCGCTCCCCGAACCCAGCCCACCCTGACTGACTACCTACCAGACCACCCCACCCCAACCCGAAGACCCGAATTTGACCCGAATTTCGGGTTGGGGGGGTACGGGCTCCACGAACGAAGCACGGGCAAGCTAGGCTGGCTAGTGCGACACAGATTTGCTCCAGGCACGGATTAAAGGAGGCATTGGGCTGGCGAGGGCCGAAGAGAAGTGCCTGTGAGATAAACGGCGGCAGACATTCACAATCATTCCCGTGCATCACTTACATGATTGGTCCATTTTGCCAGTGGCACATGCTGCTTGAGGAAACGAACGAAGCACGGGCAAGTTAGGCTGGTTAGTGCGACACAGATTTGCCAACCTTCAAAAAGCCCGACCTCAAGCATTGAACTGGGGAGTTATATTCCTCGCATGTGTTTCCACCTTCCGATGGACTGCTGGGCTATACACGACTTGTGCAGGCTGTCAGCCAAGAGTGCACACAGAGCAGAAGGGTAGGCGTTTTTCATTAGCGTGCAAAACTTGTTGCCAGAAAAACCTGTGAGCTCCACGTGGGGCTTACGGGAGAAGCTACATATACCTCTGCCAGTGCATACTAGTTTATCAAGACCAGGGTGGGGCGCGCACTTCCAGAACCGAATCCTGGTTCGAGCTCTGAAGGGGCGCCCACAGGCACAGTAGTCCACAACTTTATCACACACCTGAGGGAGCTTGGCGAAGGAGCGACGATCAGGGCGAAGCCACAGAAAGCTCTGCCAGGGATTTTCTTCGGCTCCTGGCACATTCAGCTTATAACACAGGCGTTGAATTCGCTGGGACACCCACCCTAGCCTATTGGAGACAGTGAGGTTTTCGAGGTCCTTGCCCGAAAGACCTGGAAGACCCATGGGACACGAGGGGCTTCTGAGGGCGGAAGGCATCTTGCTGTGCCTAGGGGCCCGTCGGGCCCTCGAGTACCCACTGCAGGGCGTCCCAAGAAACACGAGCTTAACAAGGCCAGAAGAAATCCAACCTCTCAAAACCTTAAAAACAGCCGGGCGAGTCAGATCAAAATGGGCACCGTGGCGAAGATCCCACTCGATGACCGCCTCTCCTCTCTGCCTCAGGTATTTACTCAATTCCCCACATCCAGAGAAGACTTCTATGCATACGCGGGACTGGTGCGGCGCGGAGCGAAGTGCAGCACCAAGGACTTGTTGAAGGCGAGCGCGCAGTCCTGTCCTTTGGCTCGCAGGGCCTCGCGCTGCCTGGACGACAGCTTGCGAAGCTCGAGGGACAGACGGCCATGCTTCTCGTACCTGAGCACTGACTTGAACGTCTTCCATCCCCCGCGCTGCTGGACGCCGCCTAAGCTTCTGACGCCCATGCTGCGGTCCTGGCTGGCCCCTCCATGCCGGAGGGAGTAGAGGGTGGGCCTGAGTACACCCACATCCAGCGCCTCGATCGCGCTCTGGAAGTCCTCCGCCAGCTCTGTGTAGCTCAGGCCCAGGAACAGCGCGTCGGGCTCGCGAAGGGCTTGAACGAAGGAGATCGGCTTCACCAGCCACTGTTGCCTCTGGAGGTCGAGGGGCACTGAGAGGTCGTACTCGTTGGTTTTTGTGGGGACCTCGTACTCCGATGCTCGCACCACAAAGGTCAGAAAGGCTGAGGCGCCACCTTCCTCCGGAAGGGGGAGCACCACCTGGCGGGCTCGCAAAGCCAGAACCTCCGATGGGCGCATGTAGGTCTCGAACATTATCACGATGGCGAGGGCGCTCAACGGTTTTCCAGCTTGGCACAGCCAGGTTGCAGCCGCCAGCATCACGAGGTACGGCACGGGCGGCCTGGACTTGGAGGGCTCCAGCACCCCCCATCCTCGCAGCGTCTGGTGGGTCAGCGGGAAGACTTCGCGGATACCAGCCGTATGCAGGTGGGGCTCCGCCCACAACAGTGCCGGGGCCAGCCGCTGCGTCGACGCCTTCGAGCCCCCCCTGTCGTAGATCGACTCGATGTACTCGGCGAGGGTCTCGTCCCAGGTCTGGCGGCTCCAGTCCGGGAGGCAGCCCAGACACAGCCAGCGAACCAGACCAAGGACAGCTCCAAGATACAGCTGCTGCGTGGCGAAGCGCACCTTGGCCGCCGCAAGCCGCGTCTGGCGGGGGCACAGGCGCCGCCTCCTCTGGCCGAGGTCTCTCTCCCAGGGATCCTGGCCACGCCTTGCGCGCCGCCCAGCCGCGACGAGCCTGCTCCTTGGCCCAGCCAGCGCCGGGACGCCTGCGGCGCGTGCCTGGCGACGAGGCGAGCGCCGCCGCGGCCGCGCCTGCGGGCGGCCCGTAGGGGGGCTGCCATTGCCCCGCGGCTGCTGCACCGTCAGGCGCTCCACCGTGCGGCTGCAGGGCGAACGGCTCCTGCGCAAGCTCCGCTCGCGAAGGGCGGAGCGGGGGCGGGGCCGACTCGCTGGGCTCGCCGGCGTCGGCAGCTTTGCCTGCAGCGTCGCCACCTCCATTCCGCCCGGCGTCGGCAGCCGCGGGGACCCCGTCGGGGCCGCGAGGCTTGGGCTGAAAGCGACGGGAGGGTGCATCACTTGGGTTCCACTCGGACGGAATCCACCTCACCTGGATTTTAAGATCGGCGGCGATACCCACAGCAAGCAGCACACGACAGACTCCCAGAAGACGATGATTAGCCGCTCGACCCTTTGCAGCCGCAAGGGTGAGAGACATGTTATCGCCCAGAAAAAGCCTGCGGGCGCCGTGCTGGCGCGCATCTCTGCCGGCCCGCCTCGCGGCCCAGGTGAGGGCGGCGCCCTCGAGCCCGTGGATCGCTTCCTTCCGCTTCCACCTTCCGCAGCCTACCACTCGCCAGGTCCTGGACTGCAGCTTGCTGTGGCTGACCTCCGGAAAGCGGGCGGCGCGCCCGACGAGCAGCAGGGCGGGGTCGGGCGCGCAGGCGACCTCGTGCTCGAACGCCCTCTCGCGAGGCGCGCCCTCGGTCGCGAGCGCGCCTCTGAAGCGGGCGCGCTCAGACACCCTCCCCACGCGCTGCACGTCGCCCAGGCCCCACTCGGTCTCGACGACTCCATACCCCCAAGGGGAGGCGTCGAAGCACGTGACGAGCTCCGACCAGGGCCGTCTGGTGTCCGACCTGAGGCAGGGCAGGAGCGCCTTGACCCAGCCCAGCTCGCGGAGGACGCTCTTCCAGAGGGGCTGCCGCTTGGTGTAGGAGGCCTGCACGAACTCGTACGAAGAATGAAGCAAAGCCAGACCTTCACGCCGCAGCATGAGCGCTGCCACGATGTGACCAATCAGGCGCTCCAGCTCCTGGCCCGAGACCTTGACTCTCCGGGCGAGAAGGTGTTCGAGCGCGCCATGCAGGCGCCACAGACGGCGGCCAGACACCTGCCAGCAGCCTGTGCGAAGGTCAAGCTCGCACCCGAGCAGCTCGCCCACCTCGCTGGCCTGGGGGTCCAACTCGGACACCACTCCCTTGGCCGCGAGCGCCGCCTTCATGTCATAGGCGGCCTGGGCAGCGCGCTGGGGCGAGGCAGACAGCACGGCGAAATTGTCGATATACAAAACCTTGGCGTCCTCCACGCTCGGGTCTATCCCCGGGTGCTTGTCCTCGCACCACGGCTGGGACGGCAAAACTGACTTGACGATGTGGAGGTGAGCCTCCTGGATGAAGTGAACGGCCCAGTTCCATCCCATCGGCACGACCTTGAAACGAAAACGGACCTGGCCGCTCTTCCCTGACAACCCACAGGCGTTCCTGACCTCGAGCGGCAAGAAGCGACTCTGAATAGTCGGCAGGTTGAAGTAGCGCCTACACCAGGGCGGAAGTGAGTATTGATAGAAACAGCAGCCAACGTCTCCAGAACTCATGCCGATGAAGTTCACCCCCGACGCCTCCAGCGAGGAGAGAGCCTCGCCCGTCGCAAGGGCGGTGTGGTTAGGAACAGTGAAGTGCATGTTGGGAGTCCTGGTGTCGCAGATGAGACGCAGCCGCTTATCCTTGCGGGCGACGAAGAACATGCCCGCCTCTTCGAGCACCGGCTCTGAGCTGCACTCGATGACCCCCGAGGCGAAGAGCTCGCCCAGCGCGTGGCCATAGTCGTAGCCCAGGCGGCCCAGCTTTGGATCCATGGCGCGAGGAGCACCTGCATCACGAATTAGCGCTGCTGCCTCCTCAGGGGAACGCAACAGCCCGCGCCCAGACTCCAGCTTGGATTGCAGATCAGCAGGAAGGACGTCCACGAGGGGGACCTTGCCAGCACCGATCTTGGGAAGCGAGATGTTCCCCCGCTGGTAGACTGTTCGAGCACCTGCGGCCTCGGCTTCAGAGTAGCCAGGCCTGAGACCCTGCAGCAACGACCATGCCGCATGGGGACTCGGACGATCAACGGGCGGAGACCACTTGCCGTCAAGCGAGGCCAGCCGCCGCACGGCCACACGTTGGGCCGCCGTCAGCGGGGCGTGGCTGGGCACCTGTCGCCCCTGCCCGCCCAGCTCATTGAGGGAGGCGATGCCCTCGAGAAGCCACTGGTCCTGCCGCCTCCTCGTGGCTGATCTCCGCTTCGCCGATGGAGAGGTGCCCCATGCGCCTTCACCACTGAGCAAGGAACGAAGCTCTGCGCCAACAGGAATCGGCAGAAGGTCTCGATGACGGCCTCCGACGTCCTCATCTGAAAACATAGCGCCCACGCGGCGCCTCCCCTTGAAAATAGTCGACCGCTCGGGGGCAGGCGGGCGACCAAGCCACTTCTCGAACAGGATGAGGGCGTCAGGCCCTCTCAGCCACGCCCTTCGCCTTGGCCTTTGACCTGGCCTTGGCAGGGGCTCCACTGTCGTCATCTCCTCCACCCGGGCCGACACCGCGAGCCAGGATCTTCTCCTCGCGACCCTTGCGGCGCTCCTTGAGCACCGCTGCCTCGGCCTGGAGGCGGTCCGCCACCCAGGTCTGCAGCTCAGGGCAGACGAGCGCTCCTCCTCTGCCCCGCTCCTGGCCCAGGAAGATCTCGCGCCCATCCAGCCGCGCTGAACTCCCTGAGCTGCGCAGCGCACCGCTCTCGTGCTCGCGCAGCCTGTTGGCGTAGATCTCCTCCCAGAGCTGGTAGCGCCTCGCGACCGTCTCGTACACAGCCAGCTCACCTTCATTAAGCTGGTCCGTCTGAGCCCCCATCTCGAGGAGCTCCGACAAGAACTGGTGCTCGTCAACGCCTGCATCCGCTGCCGTGAGGTTCTGAGTCTGGCGCCACCACTGGTGCCGCTGCAAGGGCGTCTGACCGAGTCGCTTGAACTGCTGCACCAGCCACAGGGTCGTGCGGGGGCCCTTGATAGGCCAGTCGGGCATGGCGGTCGAGGACATCCGATCCACCGCATCGGTGAAGTCCCTGACGCGGACGCCACGCGCGTCGTACCTGACAGGAAGCGTCCGCAAGTCCTGCTCGGCTGCCGCCCGTGGCGTGGCGGTACCCTCCAGCGTCCCCTCTTTGGCCACAGCCAGCACGGTGCCGTCGGTGAGCTCGCAGACGCCACGGTCGCCCAGAACGGCCTCGGGCTGCTGCAGCCCGACCTCGTCTCCAGGTTTGTAGCCAGCCCGCGCCTCGGCGGCCACCCAGCGAACAGACTTGCCAGCGCCACCAGCGCGAGCAGCGCCGCCCTGAGCGGCCCCAGGGGCGCCTGGGGGCGGCGGCAGGGGAAGCTGGGCAGCATCCCCGTCGGCGGCGGCGTCGGCGAGGGCGCCAGGCGGGCCCTCTGGGAGCCCCTCGGCCTCGCGGATCTCCTTGACCAGCTGACGGCCCTCCCCGAGCAGTCGCGCCTCGTTGCGCCTGAACCTGTCCATGTCCAGGCGCAGGATGTGCCCATTGAGCTTGGTGGGCAGCCCCCCTCGGGGGCCGATGAGGCAGAGCGCGAGACTCTCCGAGAAGTCCTCCTCGTAGATGTCGAAGTGTGGGGTGACCACAATGAAGCGCGTGTCGGTAACCTTCCCGATGATATATATTTCATGCCAGTAGTTGTCGTCTCGATCGTAGTAGGCGAGGACCCTGCACCCGATCGATAGGCTCTCCAACGCCTTGGCCGTGCGCGCTGCTGACATCAATCGGCTCCGAGGTCACGGGAGCAGAGCGACGGCCGAACACACAGGCGACCTCGCGCAGCACCGCGCCCAGCACAAACCCCAACAGCAGCGCCAGGACCACCTCGAGCCCGGTGTGCCCGGGCGGGCAAGGGGCGCAGGCTGGGCAGTCCGGTGCAAAGGCGGGCTGCCCGTGGAGGTGCTCTGGCCCGCACCTGTCGAGCTGCCCCTTGAGCAGCCCGATCAGCGCCTCGTCTGGCGAGGCCTCGAAGTGGCAGGAGCAGTCGCACCCGTGCCCCTGGCTGGTGCCGCCCAGCCAGGTGCCCAGCGCCTGCCCGCCGATGGCCGCAGCCCACTGCGCGCCAGCGCCGAGGAGCCGCCCTGCCATCAACGATGCCTCCTTCCGAAGAGAAGTGCCTGTGAGATAAACGGCGGCAGACATTCACAATCATTCCCGTGCATCACTTACATGTTCGATGTTCCCCGACCCCCTCCCACTGGAAATCGAAGGCAAATCGGGGCCTTCGGGTGGGGTTGGGGTGGTTTGGTGGGTGGTGAGTCCAGGATGCTCCCTCCCCGAGCCCAGCCCACCCCGACGCTGCCCCTGAGAGGGGGCGGCAACCTCGGACATCGCTGGGGCCTCGCACCTCCCCCACTTCTCGATGCTGCCACGACGGGCACGAGCCGACTCTTCCACCCCCGGTGGCGCCCGCCCTCTCCTGCCCGGCACACCCCTCCGGTCCAGGACTCCTCCTGCGTCTCCTCCTCCTCCTCCTCCTCCTCCTCGATCCTCGATCCTCGATCCTCGATTCTCCCCCTCCTCCTCCTCCTCCTCCTCGACCTCCTCCTCCTTGCGCCAGCGACGCCGCTTCTTCTCACCAGTCACGCCCTGTCTCTCCTGCTGGTCCGACTCTTCCAATCCATCACTCCTCCGTACTCTCTCGGGAGCGGCCAAGGAGGGGGGCGTCCAAGAGGGGGTGGTGCAAATCATGGCCGGCGGCATGTGCGCGACCCAAGGGGGGGGGCCATGGACGTAATTCGCCGGCCCAACGGGCCAGAGGCGTGCTAAGATCTCCGGTAACTTGTTAACAATATTTCTAGTTCGCGCGCGCGGAGCGGCCCCTGGGGGCCCCCGGACGAAAAGTACCCCGGCAAGGTCCCGAGAGAAGCCCGGGAGAAGCCACCAGACCACTCCAGGGGAGGGTATTTTTCGACACCCCTCACGAGGATCGTGGCCTCCGAGGGGGGAGCCGCAATCGACTACCCCCAAGAGCCCCCCAAGAGGCCCTGGGGGCCTCCAAAACGCCGCCAAGGAGCCCCAAGAGACTCCCAAGAGGTCCCCAAGATGCCCCCAAGAGGCCCTAAAGAGGGCTCCAGGGCCGGCGGCATGAGCGAAGCGATTAAATAAAACAAGAAGGGGCGCCATGACATCTGGGGAAATCTCATGGCCCACGCCATGATATCCCCCCACCCTAGTCATCACCCCCCTCTTTGCCGCCCCCGACTCTCCCCCCCCCCGGCGCCAACGGCACAGCCTTTCGGCCAGCACAGCCCCTCGATACCTGGGCCGCCCCAGCGCAGGCAGAGAGAGTGCCGCCGCTCCTGCGGAAGTGGTCCACGAAGCGGGCGCGGCCGCTGGGCAGGGCCAGTCGCCACCAGAGGCCCTTGAGGTGCACGACCGCCAGGTCAGGCGGGAAGGCGCCCTCGGGCATGGACCTGTCTTCCCAGAGTGAAGCCTCCTCCTCAAGACGAGAATGATGTCATGATGGAGCTGGCTCAGGATAGGTTCCAGGATGTCCCGAAGAGCTCGCAGCGGCCCTCGCTTGTGCAGCCCGTTTGGAACGTTAGAGGACCGAGGACTTTCTGACAGCCTGGGAAGTCTTGGAACGTGTCACCATCATGACATGTTGCTTCTCTGGATCCTGCTCCTGCTCCTCCTTCCCCCTCTCGGGGTCGGCCAAGAGGGGGGCGTCCAAGAGGGGGGGGCGCAAATCATGGCCGGCGGCATGTGCGCGGCCCAGGGGGGGGGGGGGGCAGGGACGTGTTGAAATCCGCCGCCCCCTGCTTGCAGGGGTGCACGGCGTGCTGGATGAGCTGTACAGGTTTTGGTTTTGGTTCTTTTTCCAAAAGAACTCCCCAGTGGGCTCCGGCCCGTCCCGCCGGGGTCCCGGGAGGAAGCCGAAAACAGCTCAATCCGGAAAAAAATCTTCCAAAAACGGCCGTTTCGCTCGGGACATCCTCAAAAAATCGCGAAGATGGCCCAAGATGGCCTCCAAGTCCGCCCGAGATGGTCCAAGACGGCCTCCAAAACGGCCCAAGAGAGTCCAAGACGGCCCAAGACGGCCCAAGAGGCCCCCCAGAGGCCTCCCAGACGGCCCAAGAGGCCTCCAAGAGGTCCTCCAGGAGAGTCCGAAGAGGCCAAAATCATTGATTTTCCCTTGGTTTTTGAAGGATTTGGGCATTTGCGCCTTTTCGGCTCTCCGACGGCTCAAGACGGCCCAAGAAGCCCCCAAGATCGCCCAAGAGGCCCCCAAGAGAGCCCCCTGATGGCCCAAGTGGCCTCCAAGATGGCCCCTAGAGGGCCCCAAGACGGCCCAAGAGGCCTCCAACACGCCCAAGATGGCCTCCAAGACGCCCAAGATGGCCTCCAAGACGGCCCTGGAGCGCCCCAAGAGGGTCCCCCGTTGGCCCAGAAAGGCCCCCAAAACGGCTCCCGACGGCGTCAGACGTGCCAGGAACCCACCAAGATGGCCGAAGTTGGCTCGAAGCTGGCCCAAAAGGGCCCAAGAGGCCCCCAAGAGGGCCTCCAGGAAGGCCAAAAGATGCCAAAATCACTGATTTTCCCAAGGTTTTTGATGGATTTGGGCATTTCCCTTTTTTCGGCCTTCCGACGGCCCGAGACGGCCCAAGAGCCCCCAAAGATCGCCGAAAGATCGCCCAAGAGGCCTCCAAGACGGCGACGATGACCATCAAGACGCCCACGTGTTCCCCGAAGGCTTTCCAAACCGATTCGGGGAACACATGGTCCGATGGCTTGGCAGGTCTGGCCTCAACGTTCGGCCACATAGGCGCTTCCACAAAGGCAGGGGGCGGCGGTGATTCGCCGTAGGCGTCTTCGATAAGAAGAGGCGCCATGAAATCTGGGGAGATATTATGGCCGCCGCCATGATATCCCCCCCCCTTGTCATTACCCCCCTCTTGGCCACCCCAGACTCGGATAGACGCAATAGTGACCCTGGGTAAGAGTGACCTTTGGTGCGCGGCTTTGGAGGGGCCGCGGGGAGGCCGAATCCAGGCGCGCTAGCCGCTGCTACCGCTTCGCGTTCGGCCATCCGGGGGCCCCTCTGCGCCCGCACCAAAAATCACTCCGGCGAAAGGTCACTCTTTAGGGTAACAACAAGTGACATAAACATAACAACTCGGAGGTCCGCGCGGATCTCTCGGATCGGCGCTGGGGCCCCCCGGCGGCGCCTCCGGCGCCGCCCCTGGCGCGCTCCGCGCGCCAGGGAGGAGGGTCCAGCGCCGATCCGAGAAATCCGCGCGGACCTCCGAGTTGTTATATTTATGTCACTTGTTGTTCCCCGACTCTTGCGTCTAGTCGACAGGCTCCTCCCCCCCTCGTGGTGCCCCCCTGCGCGCGGCGGGAGTCCATGGGGGCACAGGCAGGCCCTCCCTCCTGCGAGCGTTCGGCCGCCTGCCCGGCCCTCTGGGAGGCGAGAGCAAGGCAGAGCAGGTCTGACTTCGTTCGGGGATGGAGAGGACCCCCTCTAGTAAAGCTTGGTTGAGCGCAAGCGACCTCGGGCAAGAAAACTGACGAGCGCAGGCCTGGAAAACGACGGCCGCGGCGCCCTCGTGAGAGCCGAAAACCGAAAACGGACAATTCACTAATCGACGTGTCAGGGTGGGGGTTCTGTCCACCCCCGATCTCCTTCTGGTCGCCCACCTCCGTGGCAGCGCCGGAGGTGCCGCCAGGGATGCCCAGCCACGATCCAAGAAATTCGCGCGGACCTCCCGAGGCTTGTTCCCCAAGAGTGCGTTGCCCAGGGGATCCTGCTTGCTTGTGAACAGAGCGGTGGGTGCCCCACGCGGTCGCGACAGGGTTCCCCAGGGTTGCCTGGCCTCGTTTCTTTACAAGACGGCTCCTCGGGGGCGCTGAGTCTTGTCTCCAAAGCCTTGCCTCAGTTCCTTGGTCTTTCTTGAAGCCGTGCTTTGGTTTCTTATCCGTGGCTCTTTGGTTCCTGCTCCATAAATTCGCTCCTTGGTTCCGAGGTTCCGGTTGCCTGGTGCCTTGGTCTTTCTTCCTTGCTGCCTCGCCACGAACTGCCAGGCATTGCCACAAGATGTCAAGCAATGCCACAATGCTACGCAAACGACATGCCAAACAATATGCCAAACAATATGCCAAACAATGCACCCATGTAATTCATAGGATCATGTCCCTACTTTTGGTCACATCTTTCGGGCCAGAACTCAAGTCTCCAGCGGCCGTTCAGGACGCACCCCCGACAAACTCTCGACGAGGCGCAGCTGCTGGCAGGTATCCGGAAACGAGAAGACCTCCAAGAACCGACGCAAACGTCCGAAAACCCAGAAAAAGGGTAGGGGGAAGGCTTCTTTGAAGGAAGCTGCTTCTTAGAAGGCCCCAGCGGCTTCTCAGAAGGCCCGTGCTTTCTAAGGAGCAGGGGTGTTTCTAGACAAGCTTTCCCCCCTCCCGCTTGCCCCTCTCTGCGCGTGCCCGACTCCTCTTGCTTGGACGCCCGAAATGGATACGGAAAAAATGGGTAGACTGCCCAACAGCCAGTGCTGCCCAAAACCGACAGCTGCCGCTGGTGGGCAGGCGACTTTATGTCTTCAGTGAACAACGTCCGCGTTGGCGCGGACAGCGACTCTGTTAGGAGGCAACTACTGGGAGGTCTTCGTCGAAAAGATTGAAGATGATTAATCCCCATTGGGGGGCTGTTGCGTCGGAGTGGGCCTCGGACTAAGCGGGATTCAACTGGATTAAAGCGGATTAAGCAGGTTTAAGCCAGATGAAGCAGGACTCCAGACCAGGGCAGAATCAGAATGTGACCTCCCAGGAGTTGCATCCGAAAGTCCGGTTCAAAATGAACAGGAACAGCTGTTGGGCCTCGTACCTGCTCTTTCCGTACCCCTTTCGATCGCCCCGATCTAGCACGGTCCCCCCCCACCTGCTCCCAGCGACTCGCCATCGCTCGGACGTCCATTTCCTGTGCTTTTTTCGGTTTCGTGCGTGGCTGTTTCGCCAAATGATCAAGGATGCTCCTCGATGGTCCTCGCCGAAGGAAACATGCACACGTCCGAGCGATGCCAAGGCGAAGAGGCGCCAGCCCCCCGCCCCCCCCCCCCCCCCTGCCGGACTCCGGGTGGTTCAGCACCCGCGCGGGCAGCGCCCGGAAGCGCACTGGCATGGCCCGCTCCCCGTCGATCAGGTCGAGCCTCTGAGGCACTTCGTGGGGGAGGAGGGAGGAGGACGACGATGACGGCGACGGGAGGAGGGGAAGAGGGGGAGAGCAGGACGAGGAGGAGGAGGACGAGGAGGAGGAGGAGGGGAGGAAAGGGATGACAAGGAGCTTTCCTCCCCCTCCTGGCTTTCTCTGCTCGGGCGACGTCAACTGAACACCAGTCCTCCGGGGGGATTGACTGAGGAGGAGGAGGAGGAGGAGGACGACGAGGAGGAGGCGCAAAAGGAGGCGCAGGATGAGGAGAAGAAGGAGCGCTTTGCCAATGGAACAAAGGAGAAGGACGCAAAGGGAGAACGTGCGGGGCCACGCAGGAGGAGGAGGAGGAGGGATCCGCCTCATCCCCCTCCTACTCCTCCTTCACGTCCTCTTCCTCCTCGTCCTCCCCCGACCCTCCTCTTCACTTCCCCCTCTCCAGAGCTCTTTCGGGGACCTGCTGCGACCTCTCTGCTGCGACCTCTCTATGGAGGGGGGGGGGTGTACGTTTTCTTAGTTTCTGTGCCGTCTGGTGCGCCCGCGTCGTCAGTCACGGCTGGATGAACCTTGGAATCTCGTCTAGAAAACGCACTGCGACACAGCTTCCAGGGTACGCATGAACACGTCGAGGAAACGGGAAAAGGAGCAACAGGAGTAGGAGGATACGCAGGAGGAGGTGGAGGAGGAGGAGGAAGAGGAAAAGGAGGAGGAAGATGTTTCCAACAAGGTCTTCGCTGGCGGGCAGTCTTGCTTTGCGAACCGAAAACACCTGACCCGAACGATGGTGAACGCGAGAGAGCCACCAATCAAGGACCATTGACTAATCGGAATCCTAAGACTCCGCGCGGCTCACGCGAGCAGCGTGCACCAACAGAGCCTCGCCGCCCTCTTGGCGGAATGCGTCTCGCACTGCGCTGAGCTGCTCACTGGGCTTCGTCACCTCATCGCTGGGAGAGCGCGGAGCCTCTGCCGCACGCTCTGGCGCTGCTTCTGGCGCCTCGAAACATCATGGAACACCCCGGTTGCGACCTGATCAGTTCGGGCGTCTCCCTTTTCCGCGCACGATGCTTCCACCGCTTGAGGTTGTTGCGAGTCGGGGGGCGGCCCCCTTCGGCCAGCAAGGCCTGTGGGCCGAGCGTCGAGATCGCTTTGCGCCCGCGTAGACGAAAATAATCGACCTGCCGCTGCAGTCGAAAGCCAAGCGGCGATGGCATCTCGCATCCACAAGCTGCATCGAATCCAACACTGCTACGGTATACCTGCGGTCTAACCTTCGTTATTTGGATCCCCCAGTCTACCTGCTGCAATTCGTGACTCGGTGTGCTTCCAGTCCCGCCTGGGCTTCTCTATCAGCTGCGCCATTACCGTGGTTTTCCCAGCGCTGCTGCTGGGCTAGATAAGGGCTGTCCGCCATGCGTACTCAGACCTTCCCGAACACCTTCGAGTCGCCCGAACGCGTGATTGTCATCATGCCAGCGTGCATCTTCTTCCGGGAAAAGCGGGCAGATGGGCCCGCCGCGGACGCGTTGGCCACATTCGGGCAATTCGAAAAAAATAAACAGACGGGCCTCGGAGACACTGGGCCACCATGGCTAGGGCCCCAGACTCCGCCGCCCGAAGGGTTTGCGGCATCGGGGCCCCGAAAATAGGGGGAAAACAAACCTACCTCGCTTTTTACCACCCTCGCTTCCAAGAGATACCAAACGATGCCAAATTGCAGCCTGTACTGGTCAGGCCACTTGACGAGGAGGCGCGTGGTATGGCTTGGTTTTGCCTGGAAGCGAAAGCGGGGTAGGTAATGCACGCTCTGAGAAAAAGCCCTCGCACCGAGGGTCTCCTGGGCCACCCGCGCGTGGCCCTGCGACGCTCACTAATCGGGCGCCTCGCTCCTGCCGCGGCCGAGGAAGCTGGCCTCCAGGATGTTCGACGAGTCCCTTGGTGAAAAGAAGAAACCCCATCGGCGTCTGACCGATCTATGTTCCGCGGGACCTTGCAGCGCCCCTCGCTCAGGCTCGACCGCCGCGCGCCCCCGCAGTCTGCGGAGGACAGCGCCCCTGGCGGGGCCGCGCCAGGGGCGCTGAGCTCGGGGCAGCTCGCGGCCCGGGGTCGAGCGCGCGCTCTCTGGCCCCCACAGAGCTCCACGTGCACAGGACTCGACGCACCTGGACGCACGGAGCTGCGGTGGCATGGCGCCACGGCACACTTTTTTTAATCGACTCCGCGGACCCCCCCCCCGCGTCTCTCCCCAGCTGCCTTAAGACGCTTCCTCGCGCAATAGTTTGAAGGGGCCCAGGGACACACAAATAAATGCACACAAATAAAATCATGCCCCATATTTTCCCATATTTTCTGGGTTTTTATCTTCCCCCCCAATTCCCATATTTTCCAATATTTTCCTGGGAGTCGACGATTAATTGTGTCTGTGTGTTTCTTTCCCTCCTGATAGTTGTTGGACGGGCGCGGGCGAACACGTGCCTCGATGGAGGCCCTCTACGAAGTCGTGGACAAGAACGCAGCGGCTTCTCGCGCCCCATTGGACCCCGCGGAGGCGCGCGCGCAGTGCCGAGAGGAGGCGGGCCGCGCGCTTCTCCTCCTCCTCCTCCTCCTCCTCCTCCTCCTCCTCCTCCTCCTCCTCCTCCTCCTCTTTCTCCTCCTCCTCCTCATCATCCTCCTCTTCCTCCTCCTCCTCCTCCTCCTCCTCCTCCTCCTCCTCCTCCTCCTCCTCCTCCTCCTCCTCCTCCTCCTCCTCCTCCTCCTCCTCCTCCTCCTCCTCCTCCTCCTCCTCCTCCTCCTCCTCCTCCGCCTATCGAAAAATCTGGAAACAGGCTAGGATTGCTCGAAGGACCCCGCCCGGCTGTTCATACAGCCCGCGCGCCCAGCCACCAGCGCAGCTGACCCATGTCACGAAGGACACCCGAAAAAGACGAGGAGAGATGCGGGAGACCCCGTGCCTGCCGACGGACGAAATGCCAGACCAAGAAGAGGCAATACAATTGAGAGCCGATAATCCGACTGCCCCTGCCCTTCGGCCCCGTAGCAAGGGCACGCTGGAGGCCCAATGACAAACATGTTGCGGCGCTGCTTGCCAAGCGCAGACTTGGTGCGCTTGAAATTTCTCGCGCTCTGCGCGAAACAAGCCACTCTCTTCCCGTGCTTCTTTCCTCTCCCTTGCGTCCTCCTGCGCATACGCGCTATCTTCAATCCCCAAATTGACGGGAGACTCCTCGAGGGTGGCTCCACCGTGCCGTCGTAGAGCTTGCCGAACAGATGCGCCAATTTTCGAAATGGGCAAATGACCGAGGCTCCGTCCTGAGAATCCTTCGACCTCAGGAAGCCCCGCGAACAGTTGCGCTGCTGCGTGCGCAGTTTCTACAGCAAACTGCCTGGGCATGCCCGCCGAAGACGCCCCATCATCATTTATGCGCGCGTTGAGGGGCGTGCTTCGAGGGAAGGCGATCGCGTCAACAGTGGGGATCGTGTACACTCGCGCGTATGCCGCGGCCACAGGACAACCTGCAATCACTTCCGAGGTGGCGAAACATGGGCCGAGCACCAAGGCCACCATGGTTAAATAAAAAACGGGTGCCCTCTCACGCTGCTGCGCTGGCTCTATACAGCTCCGTGGGCAACTGTGGAGTTCGCACCTATCTGCCAGGGTGGCGAGCGCGATGGCTTCGTAAAACTTGAGCAATTCCCACAATGCAGTGCACGCGAATGTCGCGTAATGCTTCTTTTTTGAGGCTGCTGCCCAAGTCCTTGAAACTCTTTGGGATACCTCTCACAGCTTATTTCAATCTTGGCCGCCTGCCTCCAAGCCACGGCTGAAGATCCCGCCGCCAGGTAAGGCCTCGACAAGGAAACCTCCCAAGACGCAGCCATCGTCCGCCGCGTCTGGCCCAATAAGCTGTAGAGGTTCCAGAACAATCCCACGGGCCTCCATCCCCGAGTCGGCGGAGCCAAAACAGGGATCAGGATGGTCCGCGCCTGATCCCGCATGGTGGAGGTCGCCTCCATCACCGGATAGAGAATTATAAGGGCCACCAAACCACTGTCTGCCAAACGGCTGAAGTGGCGCATGTGGGAGCCGTCGAGCAAGGTGGCGGACGACAGCTGGAATATGGGAGAGACGTCCCTTATGCTCTGGGTGGCCACAGAATCCAGAAGGCTGGACAGATTCAGGCTGCGCGGGGTCCTCATGAGTCCTGGTGGCCCCCTCAGATCTTCGGGACTCTTGGCCGCGGCGACCAGCAACGGTGTTGGGTTCGCCAAGACGGCCCCTTGGGCCGAGAGGGTCGCAGATGGGGTGCCACGCCTTGGGTAAAAGGCATCCAGGTACGAGCACGCCGCCCTTCCTGTCTATCCCTTCACACATCCCAGGCTTTCCAAGACTACCTGGACTACCAAGGCTCCTAGGCCTCCCCCTTGGCCTTCCTGGACTACTCGCCAAGGACCTCAAAGACCTTACCTGCGATGATGCACCCGCTGCCTATGTTCCCGAAGGTCTCCAAAACGCAGAAGACCTGATCGTCCTTGTGTGTACCCCTTGATTTCATCGTACACATCCGAAAACTTCCCCAAGTGGCGGCCGATGCATATCGGTGGATCTGCTATACACGCTCGCACACCACGTAGTGGAAGTAGCACCCGAGAGCGCGTTGGCGCGGGGCTGATGCTTTCACCTCGCCCGGCAGACAGGTCAGCAAGCAAAGCCCTGACGGAGCTTGGCTTTGGGGGTTTAGGTCAGGCATGTCCTCCCACAGGCGGGCTGTGGGCGAGACATGAGCAAGTGCCCAAACAAAATCAAAAACTGACACAAATAGTAGAAAACTCGTCCCCAGACGATTTTAATACTAGGTGTGAACATTCCGCCTGTAGGGGGGCATGCCCGACTCATGCTGCTTGGCTCTCAAAGGTCTCGGCTTGCGGCATCCCTGCAGCCCCATCTGCAGGAGCTCCTGCATCCACGCTCAGGGCCTGCACCAGGCTGGCAAAAAGGCGGCA